ATGCCTGTTTGTTAATATATTTTCATTCTTTTGTTTTTAAAATAAAAAATTTTAAAATGTTCTTTTTAAAAGACAATATAATGAAATACAAGTTTTTCTTGTATGATCGCTGCAGTCTGCAGCTTAATTTAGAATAATCTCCCTAATTTTAGGACTTTAAAAATTCTGTTGTCTTCTAGTATTTTTTTTTTCTTTTTGTCCTTTTTGAGACAGGGTCTCACTATGCAGCTCAGGCTGGCCTTGAGCTCACTTTGTAGCCCAGGCTGGTCTCGAACTCACAATGATTCTCCTGTCTCAGCCTCCCAGGCTGGAATACAGGTGTGCGCCACCATGCCTGGCTGTCTCCTAATATTTTAAAAAAATGCACTTTTAAGTCATGAGCAAACCCAAGCTTCAGTATAAAAAGTGACAAAGGGAATCAAACCTTTGTCTTTGCTCCTTCCTTCTTCCTTCATCTGCGAAACTAATTTCCTCCAGAGAAATTCATTAGGCTCTATCTTTCCCCAAAACCAGAACAGTCCCTTCACCAAAGATCACACATTTTAGAGTTAGGGTAATATTTTCTGTAGACCCTATTCTGTTTGATGTACTCAGAATAAAATTTACCAGCATAAAACAGAATAAAATTTACCAGCATAAAATTGTTGCCATTATTATTGCTATTACCATAATATAATGCATTTCATAATCTTATGAAGTTAGTCTTTCCTCTTTTTATTTTTCAGAATTTTCCTGACCTGTGTTACATGTTTATTTTCCCTAGTAAATTTTACAGTCACGGTGGGAAGGCAGTTGGTATATCTGCTAAATGTTCTACACCAGCACCCATGCACTTTGGCACTTTTTCAAGTCTAGCATCAAATGCAAAACTTATATAATTAAGATTATTTACATACTATTGTAAATAAGATATTTTAACCTTTTGTTTACTTTATACTTTTGTGTTTGTGTCGAAGGAATATATTGGATTTTGGATATCACTTTCATATTCACATATCTTATTGAACTGTTTTACTGGCAAAGGATTCTCTTGAGATTTCCAATATACAACTAAAATATACGAAAAAATTAATTTTACCACTTCTAGATTTTCATTTTTAACTCTATTAACTAGTACTTACATAACAATGTTAATTAAATTGGTGATAAGGTGCTGTCCTGTCTCATTTTTCTAGTTTAAATGAAGTGCTTCACATATTTCACAATCGAGCAAATAGAGCTTCCACTTTAATGCTTTTTCTGTTCTTTTCTAAATTAAAAATCAACTTATATCAGTTTTTCCATCAGTGATTATTTTAGCTCTTTCTAGCAGAATTTTAGTGCTGTGCGATTGTGTGTGGGCAAAGTGTTCTTTAATGTCAGAAAACCTTTTTCTTAGTATTTTTTCTGCTTTAATTCTTCTGATCCTATCTTCAGGAACACTGCAGTTTCATATAGTAACCCTTTTGGTTTGTTTCCATATCCATTATTTCTTTAAAGAATTAGTCTACTTACTATTCTCAAAGTGTTCTATTTCACTGACTTTTGTTACCATTAAATGTTTCCACTTTTCATTGCTTCCTATGTGACTTTTACTCCTGTTCTTGTTTTGTAATTCTCCATTTCTTTTTTGCACTCTGCTATGTCACTTTTAAACTCATTCAATTTTATTCTCTCCCCTTCTGAGGTCAGAAAACTATACTTCTTTAATTGCTTTGTTTTCCTAGAGAAATGTGTGCTGAACTTTCATATCAACTCTTGGCCCACGTAAGATTCTATTTGCAAGCCTAGAAATCACTGGTTCACAGTATGCTTCTGCTCAAGTGAGATTCTGAATTATCTTCCACTGATTTTCAACACTTCAATCCTTCAGCCTGTCAAGCTCGTAGTCCTCAGTTTTCAATAATGGCATAGCAGTTTTCCTTGCTCAGGAAGGAAGATCTACCATTTTGCCTAGTCTACCATTTTGGATTAAATAGAACCAAGAATGTTTCCACAGACCTTCCTTCTGACCCATACTAACATCTAAGGAGACATCACTGCCCTCAGAAAGATTAGGCTGTGCTCGGAAATTACATCAAAGCTGACAAGATACAATGTCCCTTCTAGTTTTCTCCCTCAGGTCTAATTTTATATTAAAAAATCTCGTGCATCAACTGTGGTTCAAAACTGTGACTCCTGTTTTCATAAAAGAATGGACTTTCATTCATTTTAATTTTTATTGATTTCAGTCTGCCTGAAAGTAGCAATCAGAACAGATCTACCATCTCTAATTTGGACATTTTAGCCACAATTCTTAAAGTTTTTATTTGCTTATCAGCAGTTTCTTTAAGATGCTCAGGTTTATCTAGCTAAATTCATTTAGTTACTATAAAAGGATTTTTTGCCTTTATTAAATGATTTTTATCTTCTACATGATAAAATATTTTAAATTTGATCATTAAATCCTTGATTTGTGGCCCTGTGCTTTGGTAGTTCTATTGATTTTACCTGTTAGTGTCACTGATATCATAACGTAATGTGTGAGCAAGATATATTCAAAATAAATGATTTTTGTGACTTCTTCACTAGGACTTTAATAACCTTCTCAATTATACATGACGATTCATACTGAAGAAAAATAGTAATAATCAAATTCAATTGTTTAACATAAAGCCTAATCTATACCTTAGTAAATCAGAACATATTTATAACTATTATTTTACTGGAATAGTTAAACATGGTATTTCTAATGGGATATAAACACCTGACAATCTCCATGTTTTTAAGTATGTTTCGAATTAAAACAATGGGATGAGAACACTAGATTCTGTGTAAAGGTGGATATTATCCTAATCACATGCTTAACTGAGTAGTCAACATTAAATGTCCAGCACATTATAAGCCAGTGACAGCAGGAGACAAGGAAAAGTGCCTTGCAGGCTCATTCAATTACTTACAGGGAGTCAAGAAACTTGTTAAACTGCAATACTCCATAAAAAAAGGTCAAGAAACAACCAAAATAAAAATAATTAGAAAAGAATAAGGATTTAATGGAGGATACATACGACACACAATCAGAGATGTGCGTGCGCGCGCGCACGCGCGCGCACACACACACACACACACAATTTAAGGAACTGTAGAAGAAGAAGACAAAAAAAGCCAGCCATGAACAAGACCAGGAAATTTGGATTGGAGGAAGAACAAATTGTGATGCAGCTGAAATAAAAGACAATCGCATTAGTACAAAGAAGGTAGGGGCAGCCAATCCAATACCCTTAAAATAGCAAACAGCACAATGTTATCACAAGAAAAAGTTATTGTCTTAGAGGAATAACTTATTTTTGTTTACTCATTTATTTAAACTATATCCTATCCCAAAGAGGCTTTTGACCAGACTGCAAAATCTGTACATAGCAAAATCACTAGACAAGAAAGTATGAACAGTGAGCATGAAAAACAATAACGTTAGTGGGATATATTTGTAAACAACACACCTAGCTAGGTTCTCAACAGCCAAAGTAAACAGAAAAGTGTGCTCTTGCACGATTTCCAGAGGCCATAAGAAAACAGTCCAGCTGTTCACCAGAAGCATATGGGTTGAAATGACAGTGAAATTTGTCTTATGCTTTTAATCAAGAGAACAGACTGCATGATAAAGTAGATGACACTCTCAATGTCATTTCTGCAATAAGTATGATATAAAATTCTGAGTAATGATCCTATAATTTCTTCAGTTTAGTCTAGATCATAACTTCATGAATATTTCAGAGAAGAAATTATGCAAATGATCCAGATAAGCCACTCCCAGATGGTCTGACTTATCCAAGAGCAAAATTTAGAATGTCCAGAGAACATCACATCCTTTGGGTAATCCTCAGTGAATATTATTTTCACAACAAATAAATCATACATGAGGTACTCTTTCATAACACAATTCTTATGTACCCAAAGATAATTTGTTAAATAATTTCCATCTAGGAAGCACAGCCAATTAATTATGTTTTCTAAGCTAGGCCACTTGCGACCAAATATCCTCTCCTTACCTTAGTTTTCTCCTGGTTTCTGTCCTCTTCTCTGGAGAGAGTTATTCCATTATATAAAATATGCAAGAAAATTATTCTTAGGTACAGCTCCCTAGGTTGTTGTTTAGATCAGATTTTGTTTATAGGGTAATTCTGAAAGTGCTATAAAATGGGGGAGATTACAAGTGTGGTTTATTCTATTTACTCACTAACATACGCATCCATATTCAAAATCCCAATACTCCTGCCCTTAGGTAATGTTTTTGTTTTTCTGTCATTATAGTGCGAAAACAGCACCACTGATCTAAGGGAGCAGAAACTTCTCATGGAGAACTATTCATGCATAAGACTTAAATATTTAAATTAATGCAAGAAAAATGGATAGAAGAGAAACATCAAGAACCCCACAAAGCTCAAACACCTTAAATTTGGGGATACTTTTACTAGGTTTTAATATTTAATTTGAGTATTCAATGCTATTACTCATAAAAGAATCAATACAGCAGACCAAGACTCCTACCCTTTAAAGCCCTGCTTGTAAACTGGGCAGGGGGGCACACGCCTATAATCCCAGCACTAGGAAGGCTGAGGCAGGAGGATTGTTGGGAGTTCGAGACAGCATGGGCTACAAAGTGAGCTCAAGGCCAACCTGAACTGCATAGCAAGACCCTGTTTCGAAAAGACCAAAAAATAAATAAATAAATAAATAAATAAATAAAGGCCTGCTTGAACCAGGCGTGGCAGTGTAGTCCTGTAATCCCAGCACTCTGCGAGGCTGAGGTAGGAGGGTCACAATTTTGAGGGAAATCAGAGCACCTCAGTGACTTGGGGAGCGCTTGTTTTAAAAGACATAATAAAGGGGTGGGGTGGGGCTGCGGCTCAGGGTGAACCCTGCAATTTGCTAAGTTCAGGGCGGGAGTTAATGTTCTACTGTAGTGTCTTTAGTGTGCACGCTCTAGACAGACAGACAGAGAGACGGACGGACAGACGCTGGCTCATGAAAATAAGCCTTACCTGAAGTCGGCAACTCTTCCCGTCTTGTTGACACACACCACCTCCCTGGTCTGATAGCCGATCTGGATGTCCCAGTACTTGTCCTCCTGTCTGCTCTGCCTGTTGCGGGTCCTCTTCTTCTTGATCAGCTCGCGGGCCTCGGGGTCCTTGACGCCCCGGCCGCGCTCCCGCTCGCGGTTGCGGCCCCTCCTCCGCACCTGCCTGGCTGCGCGCATGCGCGGCAGGACACATGCGCTCCAGGGCGCCACCTGCAGGCTGTGGGCGCTGCGCTCGGCCTCGCACGGCCCGGCCTGGCACACCTGGACCTCGGTGAGGTTGGGGCAGCCCGCGCCCCCGAAGCGCGGCGGCGCCACCACGTGCCGCGTGCGGTGCTGCAGCCCGCTGCCGCAGGTCTCGGAGCACTCGGACCAGGGCGAGAAGTCGGACACGACGCAGTCCTGCGGGCAGGGGATGAGGCACGCCTGCTCCAGCAGCGGCTTGGGCTCGAAGTACTCGCAGATGCTGTCCTCGGCCGGGGGCTCCTGGTCCCCGCGCGCGCACGCCACCTCGCGCACCTGGACGCCCTGCTCCCCGCGGGCGCAGCCGGGCGGCCGCTCCAGGCTGCGGGAGATCACCGGCCGGCACGGGCCCCAGGGCCCCAGCCTCCAGGCGTACAGCTCCTTGTGCCACTCGCACACGCGGAAGCAGGGCTGCTGCGCGCGCGGCCGGGCCGCCGGCTCGCAGTTGCTGTGCAGCGTGGTCCAGCCCTCGGCGTGCGCGCACCACACGGCCCGCGTCTGCACGCCGCCCGGGCCGCACGCGTCGCCCATGCACCGGCCCCAGGGACCTGCGGAGGACACGAGAGTGAGCGGAGCTGGCGGGAGCAGGCCTGGGGGTGCACGGCCGGGCCCCGCACCTGCAACCCCTCCCCGAGCCTGGGCAATGCATCCCTGCGCGAGACTGCGGGACAGGGAGGGTCCTAGCTGGGGACCGTCACAAGAGGCCCTGGGCCACAGCACCTGTGTACAGTCGGTCACTGCTGGGCCTTCCACCCTGCGGCGCTTGGGGATCAGTGACAGTTTCCTTGCCTTTCTTTCCTGCGTTTCACACACTGAGCAATCCTTCTTCATAAAGCACGTCTGGAATTAGTCGCGGTGAGAAGCCGCCGCTCCTACCTCACACTCATCAATTCTGTTTTAGAAACTGGCAAAGAAAACAGCCTCTTGTGCTCCTCAGGGGCTTCCTCGCCCTGGCAGTCAGCTTTGTGTAGAACAGGCTGGCTTCCATCTCTTTTATGGTTCCATAACCTATGATCGCAAAGCTCTAATAGCTGTATTGTGTGTGTGCTGGCCCAGTTTCAACTGTTGACTTTCTAGTGATCAAAAGGCAGAAGCAACAATCTTCATTGAAGTACATTCTGCTTTTTCTCCCCTGCTTTTACATTTACCAGAAAAGTAATTATTCGTATTTCCCCCAATGAGACATAGAGACAACTAAGCAATTTAAATTCAACTACGACTCTATCTCAACATTCTGTTGAGATGTTATTTGGGGCTTAATCAACGTATTCGTTTCCTAAATTTGAACTATTTCCTATTACAGAGCTGATTCATGGGATAGTTAAGCCGATGGTTTTAGTATGAGATTTAAATTCTGGAACCCTTTTAACCATGGAACCCCTTTCAGAATAGAGAGACAACTTATGTTTCCTATGTTATTTCTTTTTCTAAGTAGATGGTATGATTTTCAAAGCTTTAACAAGTTGAGAATTACATTTTAGAATTGTGAAGAAACTTAAAGATCATATAAGGACGTGTGTCCTTTTCTAAGTGTGTCCCATGGCCTGAAGGAATTACTTGACAGCTGAGATTGTCTTCCACCGGTCCTGAGGGAAGGTGAAGGACAGGCCGTGGGTTCTAGGCTTCTCTTCTCCTCCACATGTATTGCTACCCTGCTCTCTCCTTACCAATTCTACTCTTATACACCTATTTCTACTACTTCTTTTCCTTCATAAAGAGATTATGCGTAGAAGCTTGGCTCCAAGAGGCTTTTTCTGCTAAAAAGTGAAAACCAGGAGACTAGGCCAGTGGTCATTCTACTGATGAGGAAAAGAGGAGTCAGGAAGAACAAAATCATTCTGGATTTTACATGAATTCTTTTAGTCTCATGCTATATTCTAGATTTTAGAGATTGAGGTTTAAACATTTTCTTCTGTACAAGTGTCACTCTATGCACAATCAAAATGCAAAATTATGTTTAATTTAAATGTTTGTTAGGAAAGGCACTTAAAATTTCATACAAATGGTATAATCAAATTGTAGTTAGAAAAGGGAACAATTAGAAATATTGTACTAACTAGTAATTTTTGCATTGAAAATAAGTGTTGGATATTTGGCAAACCTGCTCACATTATTGTATTAGGAAGTTCATATGTAAAAGGCTATCAAGGGTTTATAGTACATTTAAGGAAAAAGTCTTCCTGGAGTGCTGATATCAGTGTCTCATGAGCCTGTAAAAGCCAGTGGGTTTGTTGCATCTGTCAGCATATAGCTGATGATATTTTAATATTATTTTTATTCTGTCAAAGAAAAATACATTTACTCAAAAAGCTAGCAATGCTTTCTTAGAGAACTGCTAATTGTTCAACTTTGGAATTGCAAAATTTAAGATGCTTCTCAATAAAAGAAACTTATTAATACCTGTGAAAGCTAAGAATTAATTCCATACATCTTTGATTCCCTACTGTCTTTGAACAAATTAGGGACCTTAATTTTTCACCCTCCACACAGCAGACCGAGATGTATTTAAATTGAACTCTCAAGTTAGGAGCAAAGTACCTGCTATGACATCTGAATTTCAAAATTTATATATTTGTCTTGTATGAACTCAAAGTCTAAATCCAAAATGCAATTAGGAAAGTTTTCACACATTGTTTTTCCCTGGTGAAATTAACTGTGTAATGAGGCTGGTTTAAGCAGACGGGAGCTACGTCATCATTTAGAGAGAAAATGCCCCTCCGAGTGCTCAGGTGTTCAGAGGTGAGATTTCTGGAAGTCTGTTGGATCACAGGGGCAGAGATCAAGCCTTTGATAACTGCACAGCTGCAAGTGCTGGTAGGCATAGGAACTCTTGGGAAGAAGTGTGTCACTGGGACCTTGAGCTGCGAAAGTGCACTCTCACTTGTCTCTCTGCCTCCTGGCTGCCCAGGCTATGCACTTTCACCCTCCTGCGCTCTTCCCCCATGACGTGTCTGCTTTGGAGCCAGCTGACCATGCAGACGCTGAAAACATGAGCCTAAATAAGGCTCTTCTCTCTTGATGATATGCGTCAGGTATTTTACTGAAGCGAATAGAAAGCAGCTAAAGCAGTCTACTAGAAGTTAGTCTCGTATGCTCAAAATAATGACTGATGTTTATAGCAAACCTACACTGGAAAATACTTCATTGTACATGTTTTGGGAGGTTACTCTATCATAATTGGGTATGATTTAATTAATGAATGAAATTAAGGTTTTAGTATAGAAATCTGAAAGTATAATTGTGAATTGACTTCAAGTTTGTGTGCTATTGCTGTGCAAGGAAAACACATATACCCCGAATATTGTTCCTTAAAAGAAACTTAGTTAGGAAATTAAACTATAAAATATTAGCTAAACCTTGCATCTAGGAATTATCCTAGACAGGAAATGGATTATTGAAGATGCCAAATATATACATAAAATTTTAGCGTAACTCCAGACCTTGAAGTTTCTTTCCTCTAAAATACGTGTGAATGCCGGTTACTGGGAGAATGACTGATGGTTCATTCCATCGTATCGGAGAGTACACCCTACCTCACTGTCAGAGCACCCTGCATGCTTCCCATGTAATGCACAATTTCAGCGAGTTCATGGAATAATTGCCAAATGCCTGCTTGTCATATGAGTCTATCTCTATGGCCTGGGGCCAGGGATACAGCTCAGCAGAGTGCCTGGCAAGCACAAGGTCCTGCACTCGATTCCTGGTACCAAAAATAAAAATATCTCCATGGCCCCTTGAGAAGAGGTGTTTTCTGTCTTCTGCAACAATGGTAGGCCATGCACTTAAAATACGCTCAACAATATTTACCAAGAAAATGAATAAAATCAGAAGCCAAATCAAGAAAATAATTCAAATTAATTTTTGGCTCAACAGATCAATGCAGGCTTATAGGCAAATTAATAAAGACAAAAGATGCCAGCTCAGCATATGACTGTTGATCCAAGACTTGATTTTTATCTATTTATTTCATAGGTGAAGTGATACTAGTAATATATGTTATTAATTAAAATACAGGTATATATTAAATTATAATTTGAATCCACAGTGTAATTTTTCTGTTATTACTTTTAATATTATTACATTTTTGGTATAACTAAATATCCACTTTGACATCACTTTGAGAGATTAGAGGCTATCATAGGTGTCAATTTTACTATTTCTTACTAGATAGAAAGTGCTTTGCCTTCTAAACAATTTATAGATCCCATTTTCAGAAATAAGTTTCAACTACATATAAACTATTTGCTGAAAGTGTGTAAATGCCTTAAAAATTAAAAGAAAAAGTTAACAAAAGTTTTAAAATGTTGTTATCTTACTTATAAAATTAAGGATCAAATGTTCTTTTCCAACTTGGTAAAGAATACAAATGTACTTCCTAATGGGTCCAGGGAATATGTTATTTTCTAGTCTTGAGGAGCTAAATTTTCCCAGCTACAAATATCTTTGAACACCTATTTTTCCTATTGATCTTTTCACAATCTTGATGCCAGTGCAGAGACTGATTGGTCGATTACAGTAACTTTCTGAAAAACTGATTTAAAATTACCATTTGACAGGTAAACTCTTCATTAGACACGTTCTAAATTTAGAATTCATTGTAAAAGATAACTGTTATCCTGATATTTCTTATTGACTACATGATTTATCACACAGTGTGCATGTATATGCATATCTTTTGCATGTTTGATTATAGTTATATCTATAAAAACTTTGCATTTTCATTAATTTAATAAAAAAGTTATGTTTTAATTGTGTCTTTTAATTTCCTGGCTTGCTTTTAGGTGAATTGCCTCATTTATTTTGTTCACCAAGGAAAGAAAGTAGTTTGCAGATCTCAGCATATAGGGCATGGCTGGTGTCAGTGACACAGGAAGAGCAAGACTGGGCTTAAGAAGACTCCTGCATGATTTTCACACACTGCTAATGCGTAAGAACTTTAAAGTTCTCACAAAATTAGGAAGAGCATAAATTATAAATTCAAATACATTTAAATCTCATTTGAACAACGGTATCACAGATTCTTATTAACTAGCTACTCATATCAGTGTTTTTTTTTTCATTCCAAGTACGCTATTTACTTTGAGATCCAGAATATAGCACAGCCAAAAGAAACTCCACAGAGATCTATAAAAATACCTACCGACACTAAAGCAAAGAATAAAACGCATGAATGTACCAGTGAAAGCAAACGTTGCAGTGTAATCATGATTGAACCTACAGAGAACTCATCTACCTTGCAGGCTTTAATAGCTGTCTTATCTTTTCCCTGCACCTTGGGTACAGCACGTGTGTCTAATTAACTGATCTCTTGAAAGATCAGATGTTCACCACGGTATGCTTGATGAAAGGCTGTCTACTTCTGCCCTCCAAGCAGTCTTGAAATAATCACACATTCAAGAGCAAGGAGACCCCATTTAAAATTGCTCCTGACAACTAAGAATTGTTATCCCAATTAGCTACCATGTTTCAAGGAGAGCAAATGCTTTAAAACACAATTTGAAAATGCAACATGCAAGTTCTATTGAAGTAAAAACACTCCCAAGTATAA